CACCCAGGAACTCCCAAAAATCTCACCCAGAACCCCAAAAATCCGATCCGGGACCCCAAAAACCTCATTCGGGACCCCCAAAAATGCCATCCAGGAACCCCCAAAAATCTCACCCGAGAACCCAAAAACCTCACCCGGGACCCCCTAAAAAACCCTATGCAGAACCCCCAAAAACCTCACCCAGGACCCCAAAAATCCTACCCAGGACACCAAAAACCTCACCCGGGACCCCAAAAATCCCACCCGGGAACCCCAAAAATTCCACCTGAAAACTCCCAAAAATCTCACCTGGGACCCACTAAAAAAATCCTACCCAGAACCCCTAAAAATCTTACCTAGGATCCCCAAAATTTTCACCCAGAATCCCCTAAAAATCCCACATGGGAACCCCCAAAAATCTCACTCAGGAACCCCAAAATTTTTACCCAAAACCCCCTAAAAAATCCCACCTGGGAATCCCCAAAAATCTCACACAGGACCCCCTAAAAAATCCCACCCAGGAACCACCAAGAACCTCAGCTGGTACCCCAAAAATCTCATCTAGAACCCCAAAAATCCCACTCAGCACCCCCTAAAAAATCCTACCCAGGATCCCCAAAATCTTACCCAGGATCCCCAAAATTTTCACTCAAAATCCCCTAAAAAATCCCACCTGGGAAACCCCACAAATCCCACTCGAGACCCTAAAAATCCCAGTCAGGAACTCCCAAAAATCTCACCCAGGATCCCCAAAATTTTCACTCAAAATCCCCTAAAAAATCCCACTTAGGAAACCCCACAAATCCCACTCGAGACCCTAAAAATCCCAGTCAGGAACTCCCAAAAATCTCACCCAGGATCCCCAAAATTTTCTCCCAGAACCCCCTAAAAAACCCCACATGGGAACCCCTAAAAATCTCACCCAGGATCCCTCAAAAACCTCACCCAGTACTCCCTAAAAAAAATCCCACTCAGGAACCCCAAAACCTTGTCTGGGACCCCTTAATAAATCCCACCTGGGAGCCCCCAAAATTTTCGCTCAAAATCCCCTAATAAATCCCACCCGGAAACCCCAAAAATCCCACCTAGAACCCCAAAACCCCATCCAGGACCCCCTAAAAAATCCCACCCGAGATCCCCAAGCTGCTCCAACCCCCTTCTCTTGGGCACTGGGACCCCCAAACAC